TAGCTCACAGCAACCTCAAACTCCTGGGCTCAAGCGATCCTTCTGCCTCAGCCTCCTGAGTAGCTGGGACTATGGGCACAAGCCACCAGACCTGGCTCATTTTTTGTTTGTATTTTTAGTTGACTGGCTAATTTTTTTTCTATTTTTAGTAGAGACGGGGTCTCACTCTTGCTCAGGCTAGTCTTCAACTCTTGACCTCAAGTGATCTTCCCGCCTCGGCCTCCCAGAGTGCTAGGATTACAGGCGTGAGCCACCACACCCAGCCTCTAATAACATTTTCTATTAAAAAAAAAAAATCAAGGCTCCTAAAAAAAAAAATGGCTGACTTCAGGTATGGGGCAGAAAATATACGATATTAGCCTGGAACATCTTGTCACATTAGATAACAAGGAATCTCTCAATATCTACTAGGGTTGTTTCATAAGGACTAGTAATTATTTTGAATAAGCTCCTACTTGCCAATGCTAGACCAATTTAAGAGCTAAAAAAAAGAATAGTAATTAAGATAAATTAATGGTAATAATAAACAGAGAAAAGAAAGAAAGAGAGAGAGGAAGGTAAGGAAAGGAGGGAAGCACCCCACGTTCACTGTCAGGCATCCACTGGGTAAATCCAGAAGTGGTACTAGAGTTGTGAAATCATCATTTTGAAATGTCAAAGAGAGTGGTTCAGGCATAAATTATGAATACATTTTAAAGCTAGGGAGGAAAATTTGATAGGGAATATGATATTTGCATTATCTTCTTATAGATTACTTACTAGAAGCTAGAAGAAAAAATAATAAAAGAAATCAGATAACACTTTGACCAGGTGATCATTATTAGAATCAAAAAGGAATGACAGATGTATATGGGCCATCACCAAGGCACTTGGTCACCAGCCTGGCCAAAGTCAAGAAAGGAGAAACTTCTACAGCCTGTAAGAGGAAAGCCACAGGTAACTTACAAAGGAAAATCCATCAGAATAACCTCAAACTTCTCAGAAGGAATTTTATAAGCAAAAAAGGATTGGGATCCCACTGTTATGCTAATTCTTAAACAGAACAAATGGCATCCCAGAATTTTTTATACTACAAAACCAAGTTTCATAAATAAAGAGGAAATAAAGTGTCTCCTAGACAAGCGAACAGTAAGGGAATTTGTCACCACTAGACTACTGCCCTACATGAAATGCTCAAAAGTGCATGGAACACAATGATGAATACCCACCAGTGCAAAAACATAAAAGTTAAAGCTCAGAGCTCTTACAAAACAGTAGCACAAGGGAGAAGGCAAAACAAGGTATAAGTCAACATGATGAATGGATAAATCACCAATGAAGATGTAGAAGTATAAACAAAATAATTACATAAGAAATACAAAAACTAGTTGTAGACATATTCGTGAACCATTAAACAAAGGTCTCTTGAATTTACTCGAAAATAATTTTATAAAATTTTTAATTAATTACTTACTATGGAAACTCTTGTTTCTGGTAGCTTCAAGATTCTTAGCTTCAGATTGGATTGCTGAAACTAAAATCACGTCTTCAGGTGATGGTGAGGTTATAAACACTGCTAAATAGGAAAATAGATCTATGATGAAACTTCTGGATATGCCAAGTAATCAGCAAAACTTCCTCTCATTTGTGTAAAATTAAAGGAAGAGGACTTCAAAGATACAGAAGTGAGCTATTTTTTTTTTTTACTTGACAAAGACTTTACTTTCAAAATTTTTGTTTATATTTGAGTGTGTGTACATCATTATATATACTTAAATTATACAGCATGAGGTTTATATACTTATAATAGTGAAATGGTTACTACAGTCAAGGAAATTAACATATTAATTATCTTGCATAGTCACCCCCTTTTTTATGTTAAGACCTCCTATAACACACTCTTTTGTCAAATTTCCAGTACAGTGTTATAACTAGAGTCCTCATACTGCACTTCATGTCTCTAGACTTATTTAACCTGCTTTCTACAAGTTTGCACTCTTTGACCTCTATCTACCTGTTTCCTCCCTATGCTCCTGTCACAGATAATCACCACTTTATTCTCTATGTGAGCTATTTCTTAAAACAAACCTTGGAGGTGAGGTAGAAAATTGGTATAAATAGATTCATAAAAGTGTGTGGAGGAAATCTTGTTATACATGGCAGTCATTGACCTTACAAATACCAATCAAAAGGTATCAAAATTATTACTTTAGTTCTCTAGTTATCTTAGGGTATTCACATTTAGGTCAAAGTGTAAATTCTACAAATTATATGCTCAAATAAACATTCGTGACCCAAAGAAAAAAGATCTTCTGATCAGTATAACTTAAAATAATTTAAAGATATCTGCAATTATTATACATACCCTTGCATCCTTCCATTCTATAAGTTGTTGATTTCATTTGTTCTCTTTGGATTTTTGTTGCTGAATCTTTATTCTCAAGCATAAAGTTTTCATCTAGGACTTCTTCATAAGCTACATAAAAAGATTCCTTTCATCTACTAAGTAGAAAACAAATCTACCGTGCAATCTCTAGATTTCAAATTTAAAACAAGTATCTAGCAGCATTTTCTCTCATTTTCACAAAGTTATAAGTAAATTACCATAATGCTAGATCTGACATGAAAATTGTCAGAACAGTTTGAGTAGGGAGTAATGCTGATGCTGTTTCATTATTTCTAGGACATAATGTTAAGTTTAAAAAAAACAGGAAAAAGCATATCTAGTATGCTACTTTTTAATAAAATGAAGGGAATAGAAGAAAAAATCAAGAAAAGTAAAAAATACAATTACCTTCATGAAAGGAAACATAAAAAAAACAGAAAACAATACACTTCATCATCTACAACAGGGAAGGGGAGAACTGAAGGAATGCAAAGGGAAGGAAAATAGCAGGAATGAAAATGCTCTAAGTATACCTTTTACATATTTTTCACTTTGGGAAGTAAGTTAATGCACATATTCCAAAAAAAATATTAAATCAATGGTTGCACGACACTATGAATGTAATTAATGCCACTGAATTGTATACTTAAAGATGGTTAAAATGACAAATGTTATGTATATTTTACCACAATTCAAAAAATTTTAAGTTGATAGATTACATTCAACTCAATCCTTTGTTAAAATTCATACTATACTCTGACTAAAAGAAAACATCCTCAAATAATAAGGAATATTTATCTCAGATAACAAATCATAGGTGGAACGGTAGAGGCAATCTCATTCCAAAGCACAAGAAGAGTGATGCTCCCGCACGCTATACCATATTTAATTTTAAAAGTAAAATATGAGTAGGGTACTAAAGTTATATATGTAGGAAAGGAAGAACAAACATATGTTTGCTTTTAATCATATTATATGCCAAACACCTAAATGACCTAGCAAAAATATTAGTTATTCATACCAGAAGTCATCTTTTTTTCCTGATATGCCCATATTAATTTACAGTATAATATTATGTTAAGAATTCATAATGCCAAATACTATTATTTGGTTGAAACAAAGGTATCACTTCCCTTTTACACAGATTTTAGTTGAAATAGACTCTCTGAGTAATATAATGATAACTTACCAAGTTAATTTTTATATAATCATCAGTATATTTATATACTATTTGATAACTAACAAGTTGTTTGTATATTTAATAATGTTCTCCCTTCATTTATTTAAATTTACCATGGGAACACACAATCATTTACATCATCACCTTCCAAAATAGAAAATCTTTTTACCTTGAAATTCTCCTGCAGCTTGGTAAGTTTGTTCTTTAGTTTCCTTTTGTAATTTCTCTTCTGAAACATCAGACTTAATAACAAAATTATAATAAGTCATTAAAAATTATACATATATCAAACCTCTGTTTAATTACCTTCTTTGAGAGAGAGTACTAGCTTTTTACCATCATCTACAATGTCATTGCAAGAAACATTTTGTTTTTCATTATTTCCTGGATGTACTAATATCAAACAAAAAAGTCATAACAATTAATGGATCTGAGAAGTGTTTGGGAACACCAAATAGTGTAGGGCATACTCAAGCAATATTGTGATTCTCCCTCATAAATAGTTCTAAATAAATCATGTTAATAATTATTAAGATTCTTATTTAGATTTATATTTTAGTCTGCCTCAATCTTTTTGATAAACTCAAATGGCTCACAAAATTATTTTTACAGGAAGACTTTAATAACTTCTAAAATAAAAATATATTGTGGGTATGTCAAATAGGTACAGCCTTTTTGTCTTTTCTCTTTTTCCCAGCATTTTTTCCCTAAGAATCTCCCAATTAAATACTTTTTGAAGAAAAGTAATTATGATAATTTTCTAGGTCTTATTTAAAGGTATATAAAATTATTTCAAAATGACTATGATTTTACAATCACCTTATTATGTAAAAATCTTTTTTGTAAATGTTTAGTAGACATTTCTGCAAACTAAGAAAATTTCCTTTGTCTCAGGAATATATACCTTTTTATTTATCATTAAAACTATAACCTAAACCACAACTTTTTGGTCAATACCAATTAGAATTTTTTATAAGTTAAAAATATTACTTAGATTTCCAAATATTACTTTCAGAATCCTAAATATAAGCAGGTTTTATTAAAAGGTAAATTTTTTATTATTTTAAAATAACAAAGTATTGATGAGTTTTTAATTAGCATTTATTTAGGATATTGAAGGAGTCTAGTAATTCAAAACAAATAGCTTTCAAGTCATTATACTATATCATACCTTTTTTCTTTCAGTAAGAACAGGAAGTGAAGTCAGTGATGATGTCATTATTTCATTCTCTTGAGCCAGTGTTCCAACAAACAGTGAATCTTGAATTTCTTTGCTTGATGATACTGTTGTAAATGATTGTCCATAGATCTCTGATGAAGATTTTTGGGATAGTTCTTCAGCAACCAAAACTTCATCTGAATTCTCTAAAAAAGTTGATTCATCTTGAGTCTTAAGGATCTGTGAAAGATCTGAAATAGCAGAGCTAGATCTTTTCTTCTCTGAGCTTTAGAATTACAAAACATCTGGTGTTAGATTATATGAAGAACATTTTATTTGCAACTGAAGAATCATTTTAATATTCTATAAGAATATTAAGTAATCAATTATAAGTATTCATTAATTTCTGGTAATACATGAAATGGATGCTAGGTAACAAGTTGGAGATAGCAACATATCTTCTATGATTTAAAATAGACACATAGAAGTAATGTGTAACTGATTTACAAAACTCCAACAAAATAGTTATTTAAAGTCATAACAGGCCACAGAACAAGAAAAATTTGGTTAGCCAAAGTAGAGTACAGGATGGTTTAGAGATTTCCCTTTAGTCACATTTATTCCAAAATTATTTTTCCACAATATCATTTCAGAATGAAAATAAAAATCTCTCCACAGCAGCTTTGACAATAAAAGATCATCATCTTTCACCAGAGTCAATTCCCAAGCTCTGAGTTTGTTTTCTTCAAGGTAAGAGATGCTTATTCTCCACCAGTTGCCAGACGATCAGCTTTGCAGGTTCCAGAACTAGGGTGACCAGAAGTCATGTTTTGCCCACATGCTCTCCATTTATGCTTATTGTCCCAACATTCTAGTTTAGATGATAATTTAAATGCTCAAATTACATCTATATATAAACATTTAACAAAGCTTTCCCAGTCCTATGAAATGCAACCTAGTTTGATGGTTTTCATTTTGAACAGCTATTACTCCAGTTATCAAAATTTGCCTGAGGTTTTTTGCAAAGTGTCTAAAATAATTTGAATTTTGATATCACAGAAGCAAAATTTTTAAATATAAATACTGCCACCTATCCAAGTCTAACTCTCTTCTGGAGACCATTCTTGAAATACAATAGGGAGCTGTTGTCATTAGGCCACTAAAGCAGAAAAATAGTTCAAATACATGATATGAATTGATGTTTATTTATAAGCACACCTACAGTTATACACAAACCATCACTCCTGCCACTAATATTACCACATAGCTATAAGTAGAAAGCAAAATATTTTTAAAGTTTTGAAGTGGTTATTAGGGGACACCATTAATCACTTGATTCTGCATAGGCAAATGATCTTACTGTAACAATAGAGAAAATGTGTGGCAATCCAAAATCAGTGCCTTAAATACTAATATAAAGTTCATTGATAACTGTGTTTCCACACCAAGGCATTCCTCACTTCCATTAACTCCTGCAACCATAGGGGCCACTACATACTAACCACGATACTTATGCCACGGGGGTCAGGAATGAAAAACACAAGAAAGGTAAGCAAGCAGTACGGTATTCAAGCTCCTGTCAGCCAAAGGGGTATCTCTAATAAGTGGAGACGGGCATTCTTTCAAAGCCCCACTGATTGTCTAGATGGTGAAGAGGAGGAGGAAGAGGGGAAGAAGAGGAAGAGGAAAAACAAGGAGTAACATAAGGAGGATGAAGGATGGAGGAAAATAAAGGTATGGAAGGTAGCCTATACTCACACAGAAAACAGTAATAAAACAAGTGATTCACACCCTCCCAATTTTCAAAAGCAATCTAAAAATAGTGTATAAATCTTAATAAGTTTGTTTCACACACTGTTTGCTTTAGATTAAGAGTTTTTCTAGTCATTACTCCATATTAAAATAATCCAATATAATAGTATAATTATGAGCATGTATTTTAACAGCTTTGCTATAAGCATGTTGACATCATTCTACGTGACAGTCTTCAACATCGCTGAAGTGGTATAAAGAGTAAATCTCCTCCTGCTTGCAAAAGCATTTGTTAACTCTGAAGATCTGAGTGTAGCGTCCTTTTCTCACCAAGCACATAGGCATATAAGGGCACAGTCTGTTATGCATGTAATTGTAGACACCTCGTAATCCCTCTTAATACAATACGTTATCCACTCAAAAGGGAAAACTGCCACTGGATAACCGCCCTGACTGTCCTGTTTTCTTTTTCTTTCCAATAACTTCTTCTTCAGGAACTTTCCTTAATTCTATCCATTTTCTAAACTCTCAACACAATCCCCAGCCCATACCCTCCCCGCTTAGGAAAAAAAAACTCGCAAGTTTTGATGTCACACTGAACTTTTAATTATCATTGCAAATATAGAGATGAATGAATTTGATATTCTTATCTGTTATAACACAAGATGTGGAATGCATTCCTACATACAAGTAAAACAAAAATTCTAGGATTCAAAATGTAAAATATAGTACAATCTATAATGATTCTAAAAATTAACCTTATAGAAAATTTTCAATATAGGTACTGTAAAAGTCAAAAGTTAAAAATATTTTAATAATTTTTAAAAATTATATTTAACATTAATCAAAATGTTCACAATGACTAGTTTTAGGCTCAACTAAAAAGATACTCAAAAAATTTAAAAAGGCTCAGCAATAATCCAAGATGATAAAGAACCTGGAAAAATAAAAGGTTAAAATACTTGTCATTATTTTACCTAGAGAAAATAACGCTGATGGATTACTTAGGAACAGTTTGTAAACGTGTAAATAATTCTTACGCTGGCAACATTGACCAGCTACATCTAGCTCCACCACCATGTTATCACTGAAATAATTAGAAATGGAACTTAAATTATAAGGAAATTATATGTGACAAAAGAAAAACTAGTCTAACACTAGAAAACACAAACTACTGGTTACTGAGGACGATGAACGTGTTTTCTCCTGAATTTCCTTCCCTACTTGGTCGATTAGCAAAGACTCTCAACGTCTTTCACTGTTATCTGCAATATTGAAATGTTCTCTGTTGCTACTCTGCTTCCAGGGTTTTTTTTTTTTTTCAATAAACCTTGTTATGTGTAGCTAGTAGTATGGGACTCATCTGGATCTTATATAGCTTTTGAAAACAGAAATTTTGGGCTACCACTGAGGTGGGAAGTAACTCCACTGGAAACCTTATACCAGACAAACCACTGAGTTGAAACGGCCGATATCTCAGTGTCCATATTTTTTTTTTATTTCAGCATATTATGGGGGTACAGATGTTTAGGTTATGTATGTTGCCCTTGCCCCTCCTCCCCCCCAAGTCCGAGTTTCAAATATGTCCATTCCTCAGGTGGTGCGCATTGCACTCTTTGTGTATGCAAATACCCGTCCCCTCCTCCCTTCTCCCCCCTCCCCCCTGCCCAACATCCAATAGATGTTATTCTTATATGTGCATTTATGTGTTGATCAGTTAATACCAATTTGATGGTGAGTACATGTGGTGCTTGTCTTTCCATTCTTGGGATACCTCACTTAGTAGAATGCGTTCCAGCTCTATCCAGGAGTATACAAGAGGTGCTATATCACCATTGTCTCTTAAAGCTGAATAGTACTCCATGGTATACATATACCACATTTTATTAATCCACTCATGTATTGATGGACTCAGTGTCCATATTTTATATAGTCATAAATGCCCAAGAGAGGACAAACTAGAATGACTAGAGACCAGGTAGCCACAGAGTATGGGACACCATAACAGAGTAAGTGAGACAGCCATGTAGTCCACAGCTCAAAAACTGGAAGATTTCTTGGGAATCCTGAGCAGTAGTTTTGCTACAAAAGAAAAATTTGGAGTAATGTTATAAGTAGGTAGCTGCAGCACTCTATTTACTTAAGGAAAAGACAAAGAGCCTACAAAAATTGGCATAAATACGACTGAAAGTTAACGGCCTCATACCAAATCCTGAAGGGGACTTAAGAAAATCACATGGATGAAATGCTCCACGGTTGGCCTCTCTAGGAACAGAAGGGGGGAAAACTATGGGGCTGGTACAAAATTTGGAATGATCTTAACAGAGTTATACAGATAAGACAAACTGAGACAAAGGCTCAGGCTAGAGTCCTGTCCCCTTCGGCATCCCAGAGGGGAAGACCCTAAACATTCCTAAACCTACCACATCGTGCATCTTACAGGGTGTACACAAGGGTGGTAACATGGCACGGCTGAGACTGCTACCCTTAGAAAGGCCCACTTGCAGGGCTGGCCATTGGCTGGCACTGGGAACTTGCCAGGATTCCCACTCTTCCCAGAACAAATAAGAGGCTCACTGTGCCCAAACTGTTCAAACAATATGTTTTATGCTGAACACCTGTTTTCCTTCCTAGAGTATAGATTTTGGTACATGGTAGGCAGAGGATATATATATTAATATATGACCAACCCACAGTAAAACTCCTGGGCACCGAACCTCTAAGCGTCCCCGCTAGACAACATTTCACAGGTGTTGTCACAATTCATTGCTGAAGCAATTAAGAATGTCCTGACTCCGCTGGGACAGGACTCTTGGACACTTGAACTTGGTTTCTTCCAGACTTCACCCCATGCACCAATTCCCTTTGCTGGCTTTGCTTCATATCCTTTTGCTGTAATAAATCATAGCCACGATGACAACTGTGTGCTAAGTCCTGTGAGTCCTGAGTCCTCCCAGCAAGTCAGTGAACCTGGAGATGATCTTGGGGACCCTCAACACAATTGGTGTCCGAAATGAGATTCACTAGCATGACCCTGACTCACTAAAACACGAACAAAGCATTGTTTGGGAAAAGGAATAATCAAAGGGTGGCTATGAAGTCATCTATGGTATAAAACAGCAGCTGAACTGCTGCCTGTTGGAGAGGTAAACGTTTCTTGTGGAATTTGAAAATGATACATCCAACTCCAGGAAAACTGGCTCGCTGGATTCCCTGGCTGCTTTTGGTGGTGCCAGGTAAAGTGAGGGAGAAAGATGCAGCCTGGGTGATGTCTTTGGTTTTTGTTCTATCCTGCAGGTGGGAGGAGAAAAGACCTAAAAATTCCCAAAGGTTAGCTTCAGAGGGGGTAAAGGCAATAAAAATTAGTTTACAGTTACTCTTTCTAATAGGTAAGAGTCAAAAAGGTTAAATCAGTTGCCAGGGATGGAGCAAGGCTTTAAATAAACCAGAGGGGAAAAATGGTGGTGGGGCAGTGGGGAGCAGGATGA